CCGTGTTGAATTTCATTTTGTTAGCTTTGGCCCAGCTTTCTAGTCTGGGATGTAACCAAGGCATGTACCTCCATGGCCAGATCTGACTTCTCCAGGAACGGACCCAGTTGGCGTGCTCTCTTTAACTCTGCAAACACATTCCTGGCTACTGCCAAAACCTGGGCTTCCAAGTACTGCAAACTATGAACCTGAGTTTTTAGGGGGAGTGTAACCCCATCTAACACAGGCTGAATCCCTATTCCTGGATCTGTCTCTTGGCTAACCAGGTACACCTCTGTCTTTTCTAGATTAAGTTTCAATTTGTTTGCCCTCATCCAGTCCGTGACATTAGCCAGACACTGGTTTAGGACAGGAAGAGTTTCCTTGGAATTAGATGGAAAGGAATGATGGAGCTGGGTATCCTCAGTGTACAGATGACACCTTACTCCAAAACTCTGGACAGTCTCTCACAGCAGTTTCGTGTACATGTTAAAAAGCATAGGGGACAGGACTGATCCCTAAAGGACCCGCACAAGGCAATGGCCAAGGAGTCGAACAGGAATTCCCCAGCTCCACCTTCTGAGGATGCCCCTCCAAAAAAGAATGGAGCCAGTACCCCCAAGCCACATCCCAGAGAGGTGACTCAGAAGTATCCCATGGTCAATGGTATCAAAAGTCTCTGAACCAAGAGAGACACACTCCCCCTGCCCAGTTTCCTGTGGAAGTCATCCACCAAGGCGACCAAAGCAGTTTCATACTCTTTTGATGGGCAGCCAGGAAAAATGAATACTTCAAATAATGTAAAGGTTTCTTGGATGGAGATAGAAGTGCAAGATGTCTTAAAATTATATGCCAAACATAAAGTATTTCACACTTCCAGTTTCTCTCCATTCTGGACATCCTGATGCCTCAAGGGCTGAATCCTAAACAAAATGAGCGATGAGATTTCAGCTGCTGTGCAACTCAGATGTCAAGATTGTATATACTGTTTTTGATACACTTTAATATTGTTTATGTGTAAGTTAACAAATTTGTAATTTTTTAAAAAACAGTTAGTTATAATTTTAATGCCTTCGTATTGTTTTTAATTTGTACTGTTTTAAATTTTTGTGAGCTACCTGAGCTCCTATATTGGGAGAAAGGCAGGATATGAATAAATAAATAAAA